CGTCCCGAAGGACCAGACTCTCTTCGCAGGTCCGCTGCCTGCGCGCTCCCGTCGTACTGCACGGTCCCAAAATGACCTGCAGTGCTTGTGGCGACGCTATCAACGGCGCCGCCGCTTTCAGCGGCGCCCTCCGTGGCACCGCCGGACTTCTCCTCTATACGTGCAGCAAGTCCTCCGACCAGCTGCACCAGCTGGCCCATTTGCTGTGTCAGCGAACTGATCTCAGACCGCATGCTGTCGATCTGCTCGCTGCTATTTGTGTCTCCTGCCTGCGAGCCGTCCGGAGTGGTCCCTCCGGTTCTGCGGCCCGCCATCCCTAATGGACTCCCTCGAGGGAATAAAAACTAGTGTGTTGGTATGTCCGTACTTGGGAGGAGAAGACACGCTTTAACTCTCTCTGATTAGGCACCCGCGGGAGCGAGGAAAGGAAGGGAAGAAGTGGCTCTCCCGAATTCGGGGAAGGGGGCCCACACATAGTAGCCTTTTTCAGGCATACGCATGCTCCTGTCTACGTACCCCCCCGTGCTGCTAGCAGATCTACCACGCTCGTATCCAGACACACGAACACACGCATGTGTCTGACCAAGGAGCTGTATGCCCCTCACAAGACGTCTGTCTCAGCAGTAGTCGACATGCCGCGCGTCATTCTTTGCTCGTTTGCAGACCTTTGCGAGGGCTGTAACAAGTCATTTACCCTGCCAACTGCTGTTGAACCGTGTGCTGGGGGGATGGCAGTGCTCCACGACACCGCCGGATGATCGTGTAGTTCGGTGTTTTGCCAGAAATGTCACCGGGATACCGGCTAGGGGGGCGCTTTTTGAAGAACTGAAAACTAATCCCGGGGTAAAAGTCCTCATTGCGTTGTTCCGATAAGTATTGAAAAATGTGACAACATCGAAAAATCACCAACACACGCGTACGTCGCCGCCGACATGTTGGACCCGAAGTGATATCCACCAAATATAGTTGTGGATTTACATGTGGATTCGACCGTCGTTCAGGTAACTGGGCTTCCTACCCAAACATGTCTTTTGAAAAGGTCTTTTTGACAACCTTCCCCTCCTGACAGGGCCATGTCGAGATGTTCCTCTGCAACGCCGCCAACCTCCCCGGCGACCCCGACAGCACCGCCACGCAGTCCTGCTTCAACGAGCACCCCCTGGATCGCGCGGACGACGACGAGTTAAACGGCCCTGTCGACCCCGACAACACCGGGCGCTTCATCCTCGACCCCCCCTGCCGCGCCAGCGAAATCGACCAGGAAGTGCTGGACGGCGCTTACCCCTGTGATGAGACCACCGCGAGATTCAAGCTGCCCCAAGGCCTCAGCCGCGAGGGCTGCGTGGTTCAGATGATTTACTGTGGGTTACGAACCTTGGTCGTCGGTATTTCTTCGAAGCGGTAACCAACTTGCAACATCTGTGACGGAATATGGCGTTGCCATTCAAGACTGACACTTCTCGAGACTTATCAGTAGCCTGCATTTTCAAGGAAAGCGAAACGCGCTTCCACCCCCTTGCCACTTTCTCAGCTTATTTGTTGCCATTCATGCCACCTGCTTTTCCTTTTCCTCATCACACCAAGGTTACGCCGAGTTCAACCCTCCCTCGTGGCCCAGCTCGTGCGCCCCGTCCAAGGCCCATTGGATCAACGAGGTCGTCGGCTAGTGCGGCGACGGCGACGCCTACCCGGAGGAGTTCTGGAACTGCGCTGATATCTCCACCACGTCCGGTGAGCTCTCAAACCTCAGATATCATACACTTTCATCTACAACGTAGTCCCGGTGTTTTCAGTCATCATGTGAATTTGGCGGTTTAGTACGATAGCAGCGTTGGCCTAAATAATTCTGCCGGTTTTGTGTGCGAAAGCACCTTTGGAGCTCTGAAATACCGCCCTCATGGCCCCTCATGCACACAAGCCTCTCATGCATATGTCCGGTACTCTGCCCCCCGCCCCCTTTGCCTTCCATGCTTTCCGCCGATGGCCAGATGGAGGCCCCGCTCCCGTCCTGGCTCCCGGCCCCGCGCCCACCCCGACGGCCCCCGAAGAGATCGAACCGCCTGTGGCGGACGTGCCCACCGCAGCGCCCACGTACGCCCCGACTCCCGAGAGCGAGGAGGATAAAGAGAACGTCGAGCCTACCCCGTCGCCCACCACCTTGGACTAACAGGAAACCGACGAGCCCACGTACGTTCCCACTCCCGAGGGCGGAGAAGTGGAGGAGGGGACGGACGAGCCCACACCCGCGCCCACCGCCGAGCTCGAGCCGGCCACGCCCATGGCCGGCCACGCCCATGGACTCTCCGACCGAGCCGATCGTGGCGATCTTCGCGCCGTCGGAGGGGCGGAGTACGAGGGGTCCACCTGCTGTAGAACCGGCTACGACTGCGTGGAGATGGCGGACTGCTACTCCGAGGTAAAAATCACCACATCTACGTCGTACCTGTTGTAGCTTGTCGGCGATCGTGCACTGCGACCGCACTTCTTGAATCCCCCTCCGTTTTTGGGGAATCTTCCTCCTGAGAGCGCCCTCTGTTGCTGCCGCCCAATGTTTTGCCTTTCTCGCGATCTCTGGCCGACCATACCATCCCGCCCTCTCCTCCTTGGCGCGTGTTTCTTTTCTACGTTGATTCCAGTGCCGTCCCCGCGGCGACCGCTGCTCTGAGAATTGGGGGCAGTGCGAAGGACTGCACTGGGAAGGCCCCTAGTGCTGCTGGCCCGGCGCCCGTTGCGCCGAGCGCACCAAGTGGTTCCACCAGTGCATTCCCGAGGATGCCGCGGCCTGATAAATATCCGTTCCTCCTTCCCTCCAAGCGCGTTGTTCCGGTGGTGAACTGGCTTGGTTGTTGAAAGCTTAGGTCTGCTCTCCGCCATACATGTGCACGCGGGGAATTAGGGAGAGGATGAATCGTGAAGTCGCTGTTTTGGACGGCAATCTTTAATTGTTTGGTAGAGCTACTGCCTTCGTACATGTTGCACCGTGTCGTTCACCCAAGTGGCCGCGGTCTTCAATGTAGCAGTTTGGTTTTCCCTGAAGGCTTGCGATGCTTACTAGTTTCGTGGTGCGAAACAGGTACATTCCTGATGTCCGTTTCCCGTTCTGTTGTCTAGGACCAGCTCAATGTAGTTGTGTTCTCTCGTGTAGGAGGGGGCTGCTGGTGATCTTGTTCCTTCCGTACAATTGTGCCGTTAGAGGTCGTCGGCGCTTGGGCACCATTCGCTCCAGTTTTTTCTTCGTGTTTGCTCCTCGCTTGTGTGAAACTGGAAGACAACAGAGAAACGATCAGTAGACTTCCGAAGCCAAAATGGCGCCCGTAAACGAAGAACCATCACCGGCTTCTAGTATCCAACTTTCGGTATCACACGCACCTTCTTTCGCATTCACGCTTCGTTTCCGTTAATGATGGTCGGGTACCCCGGCAGCGGTGGCTGTGCTCCATGTTGCGGGCACGGAAGATGTTTGTATTCAATGCGTTTCAATGTTGCGTGGTTTTATAAGGTTGGAGGTGAGGAGAATCGTGAAGGATGGCATACGTCGTGGTAGACCCGCGTCTCTGAGCGCTGGGTGTTCGGCTAGCAACTTCTCAGATGTTGTGTAGTTCAGTGCTGGAAGCTAAGTTGCCATGTGATTCTTGGCCGTGCTCGAGTTTTCCCGCCTTTTTCCTCCTGTTGGGCGTCAAAGTGATTCTTGTCCTGGTCGGTTTGCGTTTGATGGTGGAAATTTACTCGAAACTTGCGTCGTTGAAGACGTGTTGGGAAAAAAATGCCTGTCTCCTGCACGGACCGGCAGATGCTAGACTGCTAGGTGCATCTGCTGAAGGGTGATTTTTCGGCCTATTGTGTGCCAGATGTGTCGATTCCGCCATGGGGTCGATTTGCCACCTTTTCACTGTTCGCGTGTATGATTTAAATTAGCTTTCGCATTCATTCGTGTTTTTTTGCATTTTCTTGGCCGCTGTGAAGGGAAAAGGTAGTTGCACTTTCCGCCGTCGAAAGAAGGGGTGGTCGTCCCTTGCGTGTGCTTCTTCAGTATTGTGCAACGTCGAGGCAGTTGGCTCCGGTGCCTCGTGAGCGTTTCAGGCAAGAGTGTTGTTGCACGGGCAGGCTTTATGTAATCGAATGCATGCAATATTGTTGTTGATAACCTTTGGTGCTTGTCGTTAGAAAAATATGTTGTGGAGGTTGAGACTGTTGTACGTCAGGAGCGTTGACGATCTTACGTGCCCTTCGTGAGCAACATTCATTCGGTACTACCCTGGTCATCCCGGGTTGTCGTTTCACTGGTGATCGGCTGCTAGAGTTGAGCTTTCGGGTTTGGAAAATGTAGACAATACTATCACCTTACGAAGTCCTACACAACAACGCCTTGAAAAACTGGTTTTGGGGCCAAGCGCATGGGGGATTCTTCGCGTTCTTGAATCCACGTACCCTCTTTTCGTGGGCAAACGCTTCCGGTGAATGGCGCATTCACGTATGTATGTATGTATTTGAGGGAAAAACACGGCCGAATTCCGCCGACGCTCCTCTCCTCAACATTCATTCGGGGCTGGACATGACGAGCTTGATATACTATTTTTGAGAAACAAACTGGGAACAATAATCCATGTGTCAGAGCCTGATATAGAGTGCGCCGGCTTTAGTCTGTCTGGATGTCATGGACGGCAGCCCTGTGGATCAAGGAACGACAGCTCGATCTCCATATTTCCCAGGGTTACCGGAAGGCTGATCCAAGAAATAGACTACATGTTTTAGGCGAATTTAGCGATTATATCCGTATCAGCCACCGTGTTCAACGAGAACAGCGTTGATCATGGAAGATTAATATGTTGTACAGGACGGCTAGGGCGACTAGGGGGGCGATTTCCGCAAAAAGACTATCCCGCGGGGTATTGCCCACGATGCACGGTGCGAATTGTTCCTCGCTCGTACTTCCGAAATAATGTCCTCATAGAAACAAGTAGCTAAAGTGTTGTTCCCTCCCTCATCTACGGCAGGGGGAGTGCGGGATTGTCTCAGCTAAATGGGAAATACTGTCCGCCAGCGACATAATACCGTAGATCGTAACATGCCCTTGCTCGGCAGTCTCGGGTGTTCGACCTGGGCACGGTGGGGCTATCATCGACCAGTGCTCACGACGACGGTGGGTCGTCGTGTGGGTTCGTAGAGCGTGCGAACCTCACGTGGATTATGCCCTCCCGTGGATTGCCATGTGTTGGTTTTGCGAAAAGGAAGGACGGAATATATATTTGGTCACACCACTTTCTGGTTTGGAATGGATCACGGTATGCACGGGTTGACCAAGATCCGTAGTTACGGAACGCACCACGGTTGTGTGGACAGGTTTACATAAAGGTGCAACGGCGATAATAACGAGCTCAAGAAGAAGCTGCAGATGCATGCATGCGAAAGAATGGCGAAGACAAATAGATGAAATCCACGTGTTGTTGAAATGACGTGAAAGATCTACATTTCAGGAAGTTTTGACGTGCCGAGGTTACGCCGCTTTTTTGGAGGCAAACTCTGACGGCGACATTTTTTTTTGTTTTCTTAATATGACACAACGAGTCCATCTCTGTCATTGATAAGCGTCAGAGACAGATTGACAATAGAATCATAGCGTCAGAAAAACTACCTGTATGGCTACGATTTCCCAGACAGCATATAGGGACATCTCCCCTGCGGATAACAGGCTCAACAAATCAGTTTGATAGCTGTCTTGTGTGTCTCATATATGTAATGTTGGGAAGGTGCAGAAGAAGGTTTTGGGTGCTGTTGGTTAGTCGGGCGTTTTGTGTGTCGCACCCTGTTAGTTGTAGGACATGGAATCTCCATCAGTTTACAAACGTATTTTCAGTTTGGTATGCATATGTGCGGAGTATATGCGGCTGATGTGCGGGCACACGGGAGTGGTGTCACCGTTTCCAAAAAAAAAAAAGTAAGTATATATATATGACACAACGAGTCCATCTTTGTCATAGAAAAAAGTCAGAGACAGATTAACAATGGAATCATAGCGTCGGAGAAAACTACCTGTATGCCTACGATTTCCTAGATAGAATATAGGGACAACTCCCCTGCGGGTGACAGGCTCAAAAAAAAAAATCAGTTTGGTAGCTGTCTTGTGTGTCTCATATATGTTATGTTGTGTAATTTCATGTCGTTAAATGCGCGAAGGGCACAGGAGAACATTTTCTCATTATTGCCTCCTGATGACGTGGTCGCCGATAGAGGCGCGTGGTTGATGAGGTTTCATCACCGACATGTGGGTGTGTGTTAAATGCAGTGGGTATGTTCACCTCTCTCGTCCGTGTGTAGGCAGGAGGTATGGCTACCTCTCCTATTTGTGAGCAGCGCGGACCATAAGAATACACAGAGTTTATCATTTCATACATGCTACATCATTTATCTTTGACAAGGGAGGAATGAGAGGTTGTGCGTATGGGTACGGGGGTACTCCGTGTGTCCGTGTTGTTCCCAGATGTTGTCGCATCAAGTGGCAGCATGTGTCATGGACAGGTAGACGTGGAAGGACGGCGACAGGTGAACGGCAGCAGTAGTAAGTTGTGCATGGTGGCATGTTGGGCTTGTACAGAGACGCAGTCCACCTTCGACCACACACAAAGGAGTTTGTTCATTCCTGTGGGGATTTTTCGAAGGCCTGGGTCAGCCAAGAGCAGCAGCAAGGAGCAGACGCAGTGCAGTATACTCTACAGCTTTTACAGTCCGTCCTCCTCAAGTCCTATCGGAGATAATTAGTATCGCACAACGGCTGGATCCGAAATGCCGGCTCGCTCCGCAATCCAAGAGAGGTGGGTGGCTGAGCTAAAACCGGAATGACTGCATGCAACAACATATTCGCCTGATTGAGAGCGTAGCATCTGATTGAGAGCGAGATTGCGCGATACGCTGTAGCCGGACTACCACTGAGAGGTGGAGCTTGCTGTGTAGCTTGAATTGAAGGGCTAGCCCGTAGCTTCAAGCCGCTACCCTGGTCATCCTGTGGGAGTCTCTCGTTGTGGAGCTACAGCGGGGAGCAGAAGCTACAGCAGAGCCCACCGCCCGACGCGATACCGCCCTGAAACAGTTTGAGCAGAAATAGCCAATCTGGGCAAATCTAGCAACTTGTCTAGCTCCTCGCTGCAGCATCCGATGACGATGACACGCATATGCTCGCGAAGCTGCTGATGAGACCTTCAATTTGCACCGCTTCTTGGAATAGCCCGTCCCCTACTTGCCAAGAAATGGCAAGAGGCGTCTGGACCCGAAATTTCAATTTTTTTGGCTCTCGCTCTCAATCAGATACTTCGCTCTCAATCAGGCGAATATGTTGTTATGCGTGCTCCTCCCGGCCATGTCGCTGACTGACTCTTTGAAGTACAGATTTCTGGTTCAGCGGAATTTGATTCCCAATTTTTCGTTGCCACCTGGGTGTATGGGAATTTTTCTGAAAGGTGTACAGAAATTGATTTTCCTTTTAATAATTGTAAGGGACATGTTTCATTTTCAGTGTTCCCCCTTGCGGTTTCGACGGTCAAATATTATATGTGGTTCCCCACAGATATTCGCATCGCTATAAGCTAGCAGGCTCCTACTACAGTATGTGTGTACAATTTTGGTAGAGCTAGAAGCAATTTGAACATGATTTTTATGTCATTGGTTACATACAGGCGTTATAATTTTTCACTTAGACATAACGATATTTGAGCACAACACAACAAACAGCACTATTCTGCTCAACAAAGAATCGGGACACGAACCAATAAAGCAAAACATAATCGCACGCAGGCTAATCTACCAAATACCCAACTCCACCTTCTTTCAGTATAAATTCCGCACCATTGGTACATTTACACCCACGATGTTTGCAGTCACTGGCGAGGTGCGAAAACAGGTATACATGAAGTTGTGTAAAGCATGATGTATAAGTCGACTAGAATAGAAACGTGCAAGCATGTCAGCCATCAATCTGGCTGTGGCAGCTTGGAAAAATCGAATGTCAGTACAACTATCTAACAGCAAATCGTTTTTGTGAGGACGCGTCAAAACAAAAGCGAGGCGGAAAGGTTGACACTTCAAATTTCGCTAGACTGGCACACACGTGCTTGCTCTGTGCTCTGTTACCGTCGCCAAATCACGAAAGGAGCGCCGTCAGCAGCGACTACATTGACCATGCCTACTGATTGCTCCTATAAGTAGCGGTCCTGCACACACACGTCTCGGCGAGTTCTCACGGCGGCCACGTGGCCGGACTCGCGTGTTCGGCGCGCGCGTTCGGTAGGTGCGCCGTCGGGATTGCGCATGGGATTTCAGCAGCAAAAAGGGGCTTAGGCAGTAATCGGTGGAGTCCCGTCCTCGCAGGGAGCACAGATAAAGGAGCAAGGGAGGGTACACGGACCTGGCCGGTTCGAAGGTGCATCTCGCCCGCTCCCTCACGGGGTTCGGTGCTCTGCTGCCGCATTGACATCGGTAAACAGCAGTGCAGCGAGCAGCTGCCTCATCAGCATCAACAACAGCAGATAGACGCCTCTGGGAAGTCGCCGCGGCCAAGGAGAGAAGGTCAGCGGGATGAGGCAGAGGGGTATACCTAGTCTCCTGGGAGCCGGAAGTGTGAGTCTTCGCTTCAGCATGTCGACCCTGAGCGGCAGCCCGAACCCCCCGGGGTTCGTGAACGTGACCGGCGTCAACTCTAGTCTACACCGTGTTGTTTTTTTTCCTCCCACGCGCCGACGGGCACACGCGGTGCGAAGTTTTCCCCGTCAAAACCCTAAACCGTCACTTTATGTTGGCGTCAATCCTCAAACGTCAAAATTCCGTGTCAGTCCATTGTGGATACCCTATCATGAACTTTGACATGTATCTAGACTACACATGTCCAGTAGTAGTGTCAAACTCGGGGAGGTGACGGGCGCAAGCAGACTCCGATGATCTCCTCGATCTATTGCACCGGTCGGACCGATGACGGGACAATGGTATTTAAGGGTAAGTTGAAGAAAATACTTTCGCAAACCACGCTGCTGTTGCACTCCACCGGTAGGGCGTTGGGCGCCGCTGTGCATGCCGCATCTTGAGTAAAAGGTCCGCTAACGGAGGCACTGAGGTTGAGGTACGAGGTGTGGCCTCCTGGAGTCGTTCATAAAAGCTCAAGTCTAGACTACCCAGCTCCATAAAAGCACAAGGCTAGACTCAAAGCCGGCGCTGTGAGAAGTGAGAAGCCGTGTAGCTGTCGTAATCCACGTGATCTTCGTCTCCGTTTCTGCGTCGGTGAATCAAGGAGCTACTGCAGTTTGCCGAGGTGGTGGTTCGCTCGAGAACCAAAATATTTTGGTGGACAACGCGGGGATAGATCCTGTTTGTCCCCCCCCGAACACACAGCACTGCTGTGTGATACGGCAGTACATATGTAGTAGATCACACACGGACCAGCCTCGTCGAAACACCATCAGGACATCTACCCCTTCATGCTCGCAACAGAACTGGCTCAATGTCGTTCACCGAGATGATGCAGCAGGTGAGCGCGTGCGGGAGGGATCTGGAGGGGAGCGGCGTTACATAGAGGTGCATGTTTAGCCTTCACCGTCCGTGTGCGTATCTTACACCCAGCTGCAGCATGGTTTGCAGGTCGATGTTGTGGTCCTCCATCGTGGCGGGACAAGCCTTCTCTATCGACACGTTCAACACCGTGCGGCCCCCTCTTCAGTACAAGGACTGCCTCAACAGAGGTCTGCATTACTCACAGCACAGAGATATGGGCTGCACTGCTGCGGCACGGCTACGTACACACTGGTATCCACACTGCAGCAGTCTACTGCTGTAGACTTTGCTTGTATGCATCGTCCAGGACCCTCAGATGTTTCATGAAGCTGGCCGCCTCGGATTCCTCAGCGTTTTCAGTCACACCTCGAATGATCCCTGTCGTCCAATCACGTTCCATCCCAGTGTACTGTAGTCCACCTCTCGTCGTATCTAGCTGCAACCCTGCTACAAAAGCGCGAACCACGTTGTGCGAATTTGGCCGATCGTGCACGTGAATATATGCGTAGCTATGGTGTCATTGATAGAAGACACCAGCAAATGTACGTACAGCAATAGTGTGTACTACAAAGCATGAATTATCCCGAGGATGGATGGGATAGGGGAACGGTACTGATGGTTTCCCCGCATGCAGTAGTCGTTGAAGCTGCTTCATTGGAGTGGTCCGATGCCCTGTACTGCACCTTTCGTAAGATCCCACAAACTCCTGGACCGAGTTTCGAAGCCCGATCCTTACTAATAGCAGACGGTTCCAAATTCAAACGGTACGTCTTCGGCATCTCTCGGGTTGATGGTTCCGACGCCGCCATTCTCGGCACCGCTACTCTGTTTTGGCTGTAGAGCAATCGAACTTTGAAAATCATAACAGAGGGTGTGGTATCTTGTGCAACGTACGGTAGTGCCGACGTATGTGGGCGTGGGGTACCCCGACGAAAAGAGTCCCCCGCCGCGGGACCCGTATGCTTTCACTCTATGAGCTATTGCAACGGTAGCCCCTCCCCGCCTCCGGACGAAAATCTCCAAAATATATCAAGAAAATGGGTACCTAGGTGTGCAAGAGGAGTTTACGGTGCACCCTGGCTGTAGTGTACGACATGTGTTTCTTTGATTTATTATGCATCGTGTGAGCTTCGTTTCAAGCGAAACCCGCAGTTTCCGAAAGATCCGATTCCTGGTAGTTCGGGGTGCCTGAAAATGGGCACAACTTGACTTCAATTGTGACGTATTTGAAACGAGCCTGATTGTTCCTCTCCTATGAGTAATGCTCACAGTGTTGTCCGTGACCACGGAAGGCGTCCGCTTGAATTGGACCAGTACTGACGTTAGAAAGCACCGACCAGAGAGACAACGGTGTTGGCAAAACCTCTTCACGGGCGTTGTTACTAGGAGCTCTACACACTACAGGAATAACCGGCCAATGACCCGGCGGCCTAAACGTTTGTCCTACAATTCGCTCCCACGGAACTTGCGCGTATTGTTTCACCATCATCGTAACTCACCGCCATCGAGCAAGTGTCCGTTGCCCGAGCTCTTCTTGTTGTGTCCGGTATCGAAAACAACGTTCAACGTACAGCCGAACGCGGGTATGCGCATCGTCTGTTGGCAACAACGAACACGGCCGGGAATCGATATGCCAGCTGCAGTGTCTGCGCGAGGAACAGCTGTTGTTGACGTGCACTCTGGATGGCCACGTTGTGTCCAGCCCTGACAACGTCGCGTTCTTCGACAACAACAGTCACTCATTCGCGTTGAACCACCCGGCCGTAGGCGATCAGCATAAGAACGAGCACGGACGCGAACCTACGAGTGGATTTCGACGCCAGACCAAAGTTCCAGCAGGCTTCCTTGTTCGCTACCAAGGAGGTGCGGTCGATCTCTTGTGGGTGTTCCGCAGCAACCGTGCACACTTGCACAACAAATAAAGCAATACATCCCATTTAGACTAATTTATCTACAGGTGGAGTTTCAAAGTTACACCAAACTGCAGTAGAGGATGCACGTAACCTTTCGGCCTTCGATTGATGCACAGGGCCCTACCGTAGGCATGCTTGAAGGTGGTAACGTCACAACATGGCCGACCTCCACCAGTGTTGTGTGAGGGC